AACAAGCATTGTTCAATACTGAAGCCACATTTTCAAAACTGTTCATGCAGCCTGCATTACCAACATGTATCTTGGCCAAACAGTTGAACTCCAAAACTCACTCAGACCAACAAAACACTTCATATATGTCTCAAAATAAGCTTGTTTCACCATAACACTGGCAACAGTTCTCAATCAGAAAATTCTCAAAGAGTTTGTATGTTCGTCATGTGTTGACGTTGGTTTCCTCTGGGTTTCTCCCACAATCCAAAGACATACCGGACAGGTGAACTGGAGACTGTAAGTGAGTGTGAATATGAATGTGTGTGTGTGTGTGTCATCCCTGTGATGGACTGACTGGCCATCTGTCCAGGGGGTTTTCCTGCCTATGACCCAGGAAAGGCTCCAGCCTCTCCATGACCCTACATAGGACAAGCGCTTTGGAAAATGTATGGAATAGATGGATGGATGGATCAGTACTGTGAGAGTTCTAGCCCTCCCTCTCTGCCACTCTTTTTTCCCCCACCTCTTCCTTGATCCGTGTTTCCAAACAAAATCATTCTGAAGGCATCCATCCCATCAAAAAGATCACAAAGAAAAAAGAAAAAAAAAACTACAAATAGGACATCTGGCTCGGCTTTCAGCCGACACAGCAGTTAGTTGTGTTTGGAATAATTATTATTCAATTTCACAGTAAATATTCTGCTAAGATTTAATATTTCAATATAATTCCTGCAGAAATGGACAGTTTTTACCATTGTTCTGATTTGAATGTGCTTTTATCAGTTTTGAAAGCAGTGTGTTAGCATTTGAAAAATGTACTGAAAATATATAGTGTTTTGCAGGTTGTGGAGTATGACTGTCAAAAGTGTTTGTGCATTTTGAGAAATGTGGTCATTGAATGCATTTTGTCTGAAAGCAATGAAAAATTATTCACAGTTTCTTTAGCAAAGACTTCTGTACCGCTGAATGTGTGAACAGTTTTGTGGCTTCAGTATTGAACAAGGCTTGTTAGCAATTGAAAAAATAAATAAATAAATTTGTGACTATAAGCTTGTACATTTTATATCAAAGGTGTCCAGCAGGGGGCGCTGCTACACAGTGATACACAATATGGGCAAAGGTCTCCAGACAGAATAATATAATGCAGAACTACAAGTGCATCTAAACTACAATTAGGTGCAAATAAATTAACCGGAAGTTGTCTGTGGCCTGTTTTTTTTTTTTTTTCCCATAAAATATTATTGTTTGGGCTGAATTCAAACGAACCATATGAACTCCGACAGAAACTCTCGTCTCTGATGGAACGAAAAGCTCACCTCTTCAAAAAATTGCATTTCTGATATTTACTCTCTGCTGCTAAAATTCTAAAAGAAAATGTGAGCTACAGGTGAGTTGATGTCGTGATTGGCCATAGTGAATATTAATAGGTCCGCTCTCTGCTGCTAAAATTCTAAAAGAAAATGTGAGCTACAGGTGAGTTGATGTCGTGATTGGCCATAGTGATATGGCCTAAGGCCATAGTGAATATTAATAGGTCCAATTGTTTTTATACAGCTGTAATAATCTATATGCCGTTTTTATTCCAGGAGAGATCATATAATCATTATCATAATCATCAACTGTTGCTTATTAATGGGCCTTTTGTTTTGAGCAAGTTCAGCTTCACCTAGTAATAAATAATTAGCCAACAACACTTTAACGATGCAACATTCGGGTATGTACTTATAGATCTGAGCATACATGTTGATGGACCTCTGTTGCCATCGTGTGGTTTTGTAGCAAAATACACCTCGTTGCTATTCCAAAAAAAGAAAAAAAATGAAGCAGTCCTGGACAGGCTTTCAGTCATTTCTCATTAAAACTGACTGGTTTTAATTTTAGTCTTAAAATTAATGTCTCATGCAAAACAAACTTGTAGAGTCTTCGGTGATAAGCCGAATTAAGTCAAGATTGGCAATCAGTAGGTTCAGCAAATGAATAAACATTGCCACAAATTTTCTTGATTTATTTTTTTTTTTTCTTAGTTTAGAACATAAAACAGTATTGTGGCTCAAATGAAGCAGTCCTGGACAGGCTTTCAGTCATTTCTCATTAAAACTGACTGGTTTTAATTTTAGTCTTAAAATTAATGTCTCATGCAAAACAAACTTGTAGAGTCTTCGGTGATAAGCCGAATTAAGTCAAGATTGGCAATCAGTAGGTTCAGCAAATGAATAAACATTGCCACAAATTTTCTTGATTTATTTTTTTATTTTTTCTTAGTTTAGAACATAAAACAGTATTGTGGCTCTTACCACATACCCTATGTATTCACATAATACACCATACAGCTACAAGGAGAGAGACCAAACAAAAGATAACACTTTTTACATACTGCATACTCAACATGAAAAATAGAACCAAGAACAATCTTTAACTCATAAAGGAATGTAGCTGCCAGTTTTTTTTCTTTCTTTTTTCCTCTTTATACATTTTGTCCTTTTGATGTTTAAAACTGGGCATGATTGATACTCCTTAGTTTAGAACATAAAACAGTATTGTGGCTCTTACCACATACCCTATGTATTCACATAATACACCATACAGCTACAAGGAGAGAGACCAAACAAAAGATAACACTTTTTACATACTGCATACTCAACATGAAAAATAGAACTAAGAACAATCTTTAACTCATAAAGGAATGTAGCTGCCGGTTTTTTTTCTTTATTTTTTCCTCTTTATACATTTTGTCCTTTTGATGTTTAAAACTGGGCATGATTGATACTCTTAACAGTGAGTGCTGATAGAGGGGCAGAGTAGTGTGTGTGTATGTGAGAGTGTTGTGTTTGTGTGTATTTGTATGCATTTGTGTGACACTGTGGACAAAAGGTAGATGTGAGTAAAGAAAAAAGAACGAGTATATTTAATAAAATGCCAAAATGTATAAAATATCAGAATGGGTAAAAACAGATCTCTGGGCAGTTCAGGTAGCACCAGAATGTTAAATTAACAGTCTATTCACATCAAAAGCATGAGAGTACCTATTCCTCTACCTGTCATCATGCTCTTCAAGTACCATTTCAATTATTTAGGATGATGGCTAAAAAGGGAAACTGGATCAGTTGGAGTGCTTTTTTTTTTTTTTTTTTAAATCGCGATCATCAGAAATGTTTCAGAAATAACTATGTAAAAAGATTTAAAAAGATCAGCACCATATAGGTTTCCTCTCAAAACTAGTTCATATATCAATTTAAGAGCCAGAAGAACTGTAGCAACAGTGTTTGCCGAGAGTCTTTTCCACAGTGAACTCTAGGGGGTAGCACCATGGTTCAAAAGCCATTTAGGGAGAATAAAACTGCAGTGGGCTTCAAGAGCAGTCTTGAAACTCAGCTTTTTAAACTTCAGGGGTATGTCTCACATTTCCAAGAACAAGTGACAATCTAGATAATATAATGAAAGTGCAGACTCAGAGCTCTGTAAGACTCACCCCACACAATATTTAATAAAATAAACCAAAATAACAAGCATGACATGATCTACCGAGAGTTTTGAACTGAAAGCTGTCACATTTCAAACTGCAAGTTTACACCTGATACTCTTTTCGGTTCTATGGGCAATTTTCATGTAAAAGTGATGCACTTTCACTCCCTTTCATTAAAAACAAAAAGTGAGTCCTGAATCCTTGCGAACTGTATTAGTCAACATGTTCACATTCGTTTCTTTGTTCTCCATTAGTTTATGGTTTATAGATGTGGATCAGATGCAGGGGAAGGAAGCCGGTGACAATGGTAGTACAGAGGTATTGATGTAAGTACAGTACTCACGAAAGGAAGGACAGCAGTATTTTGAGTAGACCGACAAAACATCCTGCTTTGTTGGTCTGTTGTTGACGGCTTGACATACAGACAACTGAAGACCTAAAATTCAGGAATCATTCATGATTAGGCCATCATCCCTCACCAGTTAAATAATCTTACCTAAATATTTAACTATTTACATTTCTATCTCTCCCAATAAAATTCCATTAAAACAAAAACTAGTTTTCAAGTTGTCAATAATCCGTTCTTATTTTTTTTTTTCCTCATTAAAATCAAGACTAAAAGTGCTTTTATAAAATCCTCTCTTCAATATTTACAATTTCGTTAAAATGATCAAACCAAAAAATTTAAAAATAAATTGACAGCAATCACAATAACAATAATCATCATCATTATCATATAATAAATAATTTTTAAAAATAGGTACGAATGTGGATGTAGGCAGCAAGCCTGCAGTCTGTAGCGCCTGTGTGTTTGTAGCATGTTGTGACTGGGACCAGTGTCTGTACAACATGAGGTAAAGAGCTTTAGGACCACTTAATGAGCACCAGGATCTCTCTGTGAGTGTCAAGCACCTTACAGCCCTGTGTAAACCAGCAGCAGCCCTGCATTGCTCTCTATATGTAGCTCACAGACAGGCATTCACACTGGCTCACGTACATTCTAACACACACACACACACACACACACACGTATTATGTAGTTATACATAAGCTCGCGCAAACAATTGAGCTGAAGCTGTACGCATTGCCAATCAGCACCAAGAATTCCAGGTGTGGGTGATCTCTCAGGGCAAAAAAAGAGAAGAGGGCTGCTTATAATGAGAGGGGAAACTTTACAGGAGCATAAAAGACTCATAGTAGCACCAACACCAAGAAATGTGCTCTTTCCCATTAGGCTGGTGGGTTTAACCAGCAGTGGGTAAGAAAATATCCCCCAAATAACAACTTAGAATAAAATAGTCATCACAAATTGATAACTACAGATAAATCAGGACATGGAAGACATGCTCAGTTTGTACAGGGGCAGTTGTGTTGGGAATCCCATAGGTAACTAAGGGAACCAGTTAGTCAAGTCCCCCTCTAGATTGTACCCTGTGTAAATCTTCTGACTGAAACCAACCAGATACACTGATGTTACAAACCTATAGATACTCATTTATAATGGCAATTCTGAAGCAAGTCATTATTTAAAAAAAAAAACTAAATTGTTTCTTACCTACTGCAGCTCAAAGTCTCCGCTCTACAGTCAATCTGAACATATCTAGGGTGAATCAAGCAGAGATTGCAGAATTTTAAGCCAATAAAAATTGGCTGATGATTTTAGAATTCCCTGTTTGAGCTGAGTCTGGATTCTGGAAATCATAAGCATAAGACCCATGGTGGGTTATCAGCAGCTCTTTAGGGCGGTTTGATTAAGGTGGATTTTTGCTAGCACTATCAGCACCTTAGAGAACTTAGTCTAAAAAATGTCACATGGGTAGTGAAAAATGGCCAATGAAACTGCAGACAAATGAGTCAGCACCAATCAGATGGCATGATGGAAGGCTGAGCCATCATTGGGACTGGGAGGTCCCTGCCACTGAACATGACTGACATCTGCTGCTAAAGAGCACCCAGGTCCAGCACCTGCCTCAATATTGTGAGGGCAAATTTAGAGACACTTGAGACAGAAAAGAAGCACCATTTGAAGGGATGAGAAACTTTACAGATTTCATTAGAGTGGCACCAAACAGAAAGGCCCAAGCTGGTGTCTGGTCCTCTCTTTCTTGGTCACGTGTTCAGTGACTAGCGCAATGAGCAAATACTCTAGATATGCCTTGATGCAGTCATAAATGTGACTTGCAATGATAAGATGGCGCTTCATTAATAGAGAGGTTGGTGGGGGTGGGAGAGGCGGAAAGCGCAACAAAAATGCTGATTAGCTTGTTCTCATGTTCATAATGAACAAGCAAGAATGAAGAAAGGAAGTCCCTCTTAGTCAAGAGGGGTTAAAAATCATAATATTAATAACAAAGATGAAAAAAAAACAATAACATTAAAATAAAAAAGTCATCTTCATTATATAATAACAATACCTGTAATATCAACGTTGACAGTAACAATAGCAATTGTAATAATATTGATAATAGAGCAATAATAATTAGGATCATCAAATTCACTTAAGGAGGGGTAGCTATGGAAATCCCTCCCACGTTGGAGAGAGCAAGAGCACCATAGACAGCATGTCTGTTTGAGGAGTTCCCAAACTGCTGCCAAAATTTGAGGTAAAAGAAAAAAAGTGAAAAAGTGCCCCTTCCTCTATTCTCCCTCCCTTGTGGTGGCCTGAGAGAGGTTTTAGAGCTAGAAGAGGGGAAGCAAATGGTAAAGGAGTAAAATGATCCTTATCATTTTTATTCCTATCTCTGGCTCCAAGGGGCAACAGTCTACAAGAGTTCACACAAATCGACTGTAAGGACCAGTGAGGTGTGTGGATGGGTAGGGTGAAACTGTGACTAGGGTGGCGGTATGCTGTGTGGGCGCCATCCGTGTCATCACACCCTCTCGTTTGTCCTTGGTTTGTCCAGGGGATGGGCTCGCTGATCCAGCCGCCCACTTGCGTTTTTTCCCATAGGCCTTAAGATCTTCCTGTGAGAGACCCAAAAGAGCTGCTTCTTGTTGCCGCTGTCGTGCTCGCTCGGCCAGGAGTTTCATCTTGGATTCCCACAAAGCCAGACCGTGGCAGGGCTGGTTCAGTTTCTTGTGCTGGTAGAAGACCAGGGATATGCGGCTTGGGTGAGAGCGGTCAGGCTTTTTAAGTGGCGTGGTGGCATGGAGCTCTCGACGGGCACACTCAATCAAGATAGAACCATGAGCAGGGGCCACTGCTACTCCTCCAATGTTGGGATCCAAGAAGTTGTGTTCGCTGTCTGACCACACCTCTTCCTCCTCAGGGTCACGTTCACTCTGGGTCTCTGCCTCACTGTCCCAACATGCCTGACCATCCGACTTTTGCAGTGCATCGGGAAACAAGCGTCCCTCAGGAGCCAGAGATGGTGTGCTGCCTGCTGCTGATCCACCACCAGATTTCCAGGCTTTCTCCTGGAGTCCCAGAGGTGCAGACCCACAATTCTCACCTGCTTGGGAAAGCATTTTATCAGGGAGAGCACCAGCAGGATTGCCTTGCCTTATACAACCAGTGCCGTAACCTATGGGTCCACAAGGACCCCATGCTTTAGGTTGTGGACTAGGGGCAGGGCTAACCCACTGTCTTGGGGTGGACGGATGTGGAGAGGGTGCAGGTGATGGACCTGCTTTTAGGGATGGGGACGGAGATGGGGCAGGGGATGGCATTGGAGTGTTAGGGCAGGAATAGGAATTCCATTGTTGCTGCTGCAGATACTGAGGGTGTTCATGTTGGTGTGGGTGTTGCTGGTGGAGCCTCTGCTTGTCCGGAGTGAAAGGCAAATCAGTTGGACCTGGTCTGATATTCCCATCCCAGCCTTGAGGGACTAGGCTGCCGTTTGGTTTGTGCCCAGGCCAGCCTTCAGGTTTTGGCATGGTACTGGGAGTGCTAGGGCAGCTTTGAGCTTGCCCATCCGATCTGCCATCATATAGGGGCACATCCATGGGCTCCTGCTTGATGATGGGTGTAGAGCGGTGTGTCTGCTCATGTGATGGAGTACGACTGGGTGGAACAGGAGACTGGGAAACCTCAGAAGCTTGTGGGAAGCCTTGAATGGATGCATCAGCCATTTGCTGCTGTGACTGCACAGGATGGCTGGGATAGGCCTGTGCCAGTTTGGCTTGAAGACACTGAACATCTGGCTTCTGGTCAAATGGTGTGGCAGAGGGTTCTCTAGCTTTGGGCCAGGCTCCATTATCATATCCCAACTGGGTGGAACAGGAGACTGGGAAACCTCAGAAGCTTGTGGGAAGCCTTGAATGGATGCATCAGCCATTTGCTGCTGTGACTGCACAGGACGGCTGGGATAGGCCTGTGCCAGTTTGGCTTGAAGACACTGAACATCGGGCTTCTGGTCAAATGGTGTGGCAGAGGGTTCTCCAGCTTTGGGCCAGGCACCATTATCATATCCCAAGAGCTCAGGAGCAAAAAGTGCGCTGGGAGGGTAGTTGTAATAACCGTAGCGTATTTCTTGGAGGTTGGGGTGAAAGCCATTGATGGGGCTCTGTGCAGGAGGTTGGCTGTTGGTAGGGATGCAACCTCTTGCATAGTTTCCAGGGTATGACAACGAACTGTGCATGCTGTGTGGATCAGAGGTTGTCTTGCCGTTCCCTAGTGCCAGGTAGCCATGTATGGCTCCATTGAAGGGCTGGAAGCGGTCAACAGGCTTTTTGATGGTTGGTTTCACCTCCTGTTTTGGAATAGCTAGATAACAGACAAACAAGAAAAAAATTATATAGTAAATATACATTTTATAGTTATTGCATTTCAATTTTATAAGATAAGATCTCAAGTTCAAAATCTCCAACAGTAATGGCGAATTACATTCAAATAATGGCACTACAGAGTCCAAAGAGCACATCTCTAAAATATTCCCACTTCAGCCAAATGAATGGTTTGTCCTTTACTTTATAAACAACCGGTAGTTATTTTAACTCCCTTTTAGAATTTTACATAAACTGGTTTATGTATATAGAGATAAACTAATATTTAACCACTGACCTTTATTGCCTTGCTGAGGGTGGGGTGACTCCACGTGGTGCATCTCCATCTTGACAGTCTTCTCTGGGGTTTCTGCAAGCTGCAATTTCCTGTTCTTCTTCTCAGATGCAGCCTTTTTGGCCTCCAACCGACGCTGCCGGCAGGATTTAGCAGGTTCTGGAAGTTTTCTAACCTGTCGACGGAAGTTAGTGAGCACCTGGATGGCTCCTGTATGCATTTTGAGACGCTGGTTCTCCTCACTTCCAAATTCATCGGTTGAAGAAATCTTGTAGAGCGGAAGCACATGCAGCTGCTCATCTTCTGGGATTGTGCCCACTCTGCGATTGTCCTCTTTCGTAAGAGTGCACACCTGGAAGTAACAAAATTAGGAATTGTAAGGCTAAAGTAAATAGCAATTAATTCCATGTATGGGGTACATCTCCTACTGCCTATTGTACATTAACACAATTCTAATTTCGACCAGTGTATCCTTTTAATTTATAAGTACAGGAACAATTTGCAATGTATGGTAAATTAGAACAAGTTACAACGCATAGTAGTCCCCAGGCAGTGACCACAGTACAGCCCTGGAGAGCATTCACTTAAAAATAAGTATGATGCAAAAGCCTAACCTACATAAAAATACATACATACATACATACATACATACATAAATAAAATGGGTATTATAAAAAATATACTGTGTATAATCACACATTATTTACACAGATACATATATTCATAAATGATAATTAATAACATACCACAGTGCAGCCATTGTGGAGGTTATGCTGGTCTTTGTGAGCATGGGCACAGAAATCCATGCATGCAGTGACTCCTGAAAATGGCCGTCCTTCCTTCAAACCCAACCGACAGTCTGAGGCAATCTTCTCATTTAAACACTGAATAACACAGAAAAAGAAAATAATTATTTTCAATTAACAAATGATTATTTCAGTTTCTGTTTATTTCAGTAACACTTCCTAATACCATAATTCACTATATAAAAATAAAGTTCTGAAGCATTAAATTCATAAACTTCTTGATCACCTGAAACCCCACCAAACCTACAAGTCCACAATTACCAGAAAAGCTTTTTGGTTTAATGTGCCTGAATGGTGTAAACTGTGTACTGAAATTTCAAAAAACAAACCTGGTTACTGTAGGCCTGGGGAGCCAGCCTCTTATACACAGGGGCCACATGTGTGGCCAAGTTTTGGAAGTTATCCCTGAGATTGTCCTCCTGTACAAAAAAAAACAATAACAATTCAAATGAGTTTACATGGGCTATCATGAAGAGTAAAGGGCTATGTTCACACAGTCAGGGTTTGGGATAGACTAACAGTGACTCGGAATTGTACAACAGCTTATATGAGTCAAACAAATAACTGAAGTCAACTCCCCTTTCCCTATTTTTCTCCAATAGCCCAGCTGACATTGACTAAAATATCAAAAGATGGTGACTTCCATAAAACTGGAAATCTTATAACCAAAAAGTCTCATAATAGAAATATACGGCAAAACGCTATTTGTGACCCGGGACCACAAAACCAGTCTTAAAGGTCCCATGGCATGAAAATGTCACTTTATGACGTTTTTTAACATTAATATGAGTTCCCCTAGCCTGCCTATGGTCCCCCAGTGGCTAGAAATGGCGATAGGTGTAAACCGAGTCCTGGGTACCCTGCTTCTCCTTTGAGAAAATGAAAGCTCAGATGGCCCAATCCGGAATCTTCCCTTTATGTCGTCATACGGGGAAAGGTTACCTCCCCTTTCTCTGCTTTGCCCGCCCAGAGAATTTGGCCCGCCCATGAGAAAACAAGCTATACCGTGCGAGGTGAGCGCAATATTTTTTTTTCCTCGAGAGACATCATGGCTTGCAAACGAGCGAAACATGGCAGTTGCCCCGCCTCTCTCCTCCTCATTAGCATTTAAAGCTACAGACACAGAAATGGCACGTCCTAAGGAAAGCTCATTGTGGGACTGGCCCGTAGTGGCTGAAATTCTGCACCAAGGCTGAATTTCGGGAAAGAGACTTCAGATACAGTACTAGGGATATATATGAAAACTTAATTTTTGATTAGTAATATGCATTGCTAAGAACTTCATTTGGACAACTTTAAATGCGATTTTCTTAATATTTAGATTTTTTTGCACCCTCAGATTCCAGATTTTCAAATAGTTGTATCTCGGCCAAATATTGTCCTATCCTAATAAACCATACATCAATGGAAAGCTTATTTATTCAACTTTCAGATGATTTATAAATCTCAATTTAGAAAAATTGACCCTTATGACTGGCTTTGTGGTCCAGGGTCACATTTAGTAAACAAGGTGCAAGTTCATCTGCCAGTACATAATTAACTGGCAATGACTTTAAATGCTTTTACTGTAAATTGAGTGTAGAGTGTAGCATTTGGATGGCACCCAGACCAGAACACTGATGGGAGCAGATACTAAATTAAAAACCTTCAGATGGCAACTCATATTTCGGTGAGTAAACAAAATGCAACACACACTGTTTAATTATAATCATAGAAAAATGTAGTTGTAAATGATTCCATTCATATTTAAACATATTTAAACCTTGATTTGAAAAATAGTTTATTATATATAATTTAATACAATTATAATAGAGCAAGCTAGGGTCATGTAAAATTACCCTCAGTTATTTTTATTAGGCTTGTAAAAAAAAAAAACACCAATTACATTAGCGTATTATTTTTGCCTTTTTTATGTGACACTAACCTCTTCGGGGTGGTCTCCATGCAGTCTGAACTTGCGAGGGGTTTTGCTTCGAGCATACTTGCATCCATTGAAGTACATGCTCCAGGAGCAGCCAAAAGAGAAGGAAGCTCCACAGGTTTCTGAGTCCTTCCCTTGGCATGCACAGGTTCGACTGCAAAAGGCATCCACCATGAATTTAATTGAATAACAATAGATGACATCCTCTGAGTCTATTCCTTAAATCATGCTTTATGAAAACGATACATTACAGAGTCATTAGATACCAGCATCGGGAGCTTTCATAAGTCTTACGAAAGATACATACTGTACAGGGAGCATGTATGATTACATTTGATTACAGGATCACCTTTATGCAAGTGCGTGATTAAACAATTGATATTAGTCAATAATGTGATTTGCATGAACTATTATTTCATTATTTTAACACCATGAATTTAATTGAATAACAATAGATGACATCCTCTGAGTCTATTCCTTAAATCATGCTTTATGAAAACGATACATTACAGAGTCATTAGATACCAGCATCGGGAGCTTTCATAAGTCTTACGAAAGATACATACTGTACAGGGAGCATGTATGATTACATTTGATTACAGGATCACCTTTATGCAAGTGTGTGATTAAACAATTTATATGATTAGTCAATAATGTGATTTGCATGAACTATTATTTCATTATTTTAATATGACTCTGAAAACTCTTGAAAAATGTAAACAGGTTATAATTCACATCAAAAGAATTTGTAAATCACCCAATATGTGACCAATGCATCAATATATCACACCCACAGTGTGTCCTACATTACAGTCCTACATTACAGTCATCAACCAAATTAGTCCACACAAAATATAAGTTCCTGTCACCTCTTTACCTCAAAGACAAATAAAAATTAAAAAAACACCTCAGTTGTTTTCATAACTCACTCATCATTGAGTCCACAGCGGCGGCTGGTGGGATTGCCATATTTGATGAGGGTTTCTGTTATTTCTTTGTAGAGTTTATCTCCCAGAGCACGGGGCACGCCCTCCCAGCACAGGATGACAACAACAATAACAGTACTGACACAGTGGTGCCCAGGCCGTTGCTTCACAACGCATAACAATTTCTCCTTCTCACTGCTGCGACGAATCACCTACAAAGAGAAAGACAATCAGCAATGATAAATGCATACGATAGATGTTAAGTTGTAGTTGTGTATACTGCAGCAAAGCAGAAATCACAATGTAATCATTCAGTGGTACTACTTTGACTGCTGTCTCATGTCTTGTGGTATTTTAAGTTAAAATCAGTGCACTCCAACTAGCTGTTTTTGAATGCCAGAAGGCGTTAAGAAACATGCCCATTTGGTTCAGGTGAACCCCTCACCAGCCTAATTATACGGGTATTCCTTAAGCCTGATTAGTCGTCCAATCATTCAGGTAACCCAATGCTTAATTGATTTGAGAAATATTTCATTTTGCACACTCACCCACTTAGCGATAGGACATCCCTGAGAGCTCTTTCCTTCTTTGATTAGTCGTCCAATCATTCAGGTAACCCAATGCTTAATTGATTTTAGAAATATTTCATTTTGCACACTCACCCACTTAGCGATAGGACATCCCTGAGAGCTCTTTCCTTCTTGCCCTGTGTAAACCACCCTCTCAATACGAATGGCTTCGCCTTTCTCCCCATACCTGTCATAACGAGGGGACAGAAGTTGAGTGACAAACTCAAATTACAGTTTGAAATTGCAACATGAAAAAGCAGCAACCCACCGCAATCTTAACGAAGACACATTTTAAGTCACTTTATACTTAATACAGCTTTGGGTGCATGTATGTAGAAATCAAATCAAGAATTAAAGGTGCAGTATGTAGTATTGACAGCTAGAGGTTGAAAGGGGTACTGCAGTTCAAATTCAAAATATTGGAGAGCATTGTTTCTCCCTCCCCTCATCGACGCTCACACGGGTAGCCAGATGCAACAAGGAACGAGCACAACTGACAACCAACGAGTCTTACAGTGTAAGGTGATGAGTTGTTTTATGTGTGTTTAATATGCCTCTGCTCATAGAGCTTTTTATATGGATGCTGAGGCTTTTTAGGTTAGGTAGAATCTGTGATCTCTGACCCAGTTTCAATGCCTGCAATGCGCTGTGTTTTCAGCCAACAAGCTTTGAGTTTGGTAAAGCTTTAGAAATGATGGCTTTATGTGTGATACATCAATGTATTGAACAGTTCCACGTGTAATGTGATGTGTGTCATATATTGAAGTAGTTGGTGATACTCAGTCCTAAAGTTTACACACATTTGCATATGATGGCTTCATGTTCTCAGTCAACAATTGCTTGTCTCCTCAAATGAAACTCTCAGTGCATGAGTATGACAGCAGCATGTGCTAAGTATAATACTGTTCAGTTGTAATTACACAAGTTGGGGGAGAAGCTTCAAAGATCCACAGGGGTGGGCTATGAGGTCAAAGGCCACAAAAGGGTCAGGCTTAGGCTTAAGGAGGCTATAGTCACTTTCTGACGGACAAACAAAGGGGAGGTTCTTCCTCTACCCACCAGCTCCCCCTTTATCTCAGAGGAGATGACTCAGGCTATAGAAATACAGCCACTATGCCCTCAATCAGCTCTCAAATAAAGCAATGAGAGTGGACAAGTGTACGAGAGGTCAGCAAAGGTGGAGATACTCTGTCCAAATGGGTCAACAGAGTCTTAGCTTCTGTATGCTTACAGGGGAAAGGGGGTCAACACCCTGTGGAGCTTTTCATATTCCTCTACACTTCACAATGATCATAGGATTATTAAGTTTTTAGTAAATTAAGTTTTCAGACCTCAGGGAATGTGTCAAGTATTCTCATATATAGTAAATTAACTTGATTTACAGTAACAAATTTACGCTGTATTACAGCACTGCTGTAAAGGAAATCTGGCTTCCTTTATACCCTGTGTATCCAAATGAAAAACCTAAAGGATACTCATTGCTTAAAGTTTAATATATACCCCACCGTTTTCATCACTTCACCTCCTACTTCTTTAATTTCCTCTAAATTATTTTTCTCTTCCCCTTTTATTCATTGTCTGTCTGTCTCCCTGTCTCTCCCCTGTGTGGATCTGCTGATGCTGATATTTCCTGTTACTCCTGTTGGATTCTGGGTCAGAAATTCCCTGGGGACAAGATCACAGAGAAGGAAGGTGGGAGGAGGGTGTGAAGGGAGAACAAATGGCAGAATAGAGAGATGCTTATCCTCTAATTGTCTCAGAAAATACCACGGTTAAATGACTGTTAAAAGAACAAGAACAAGTTATTTGAATCCTTTATTACAACAAACTTGAAACCATTTTAATGAAAGTATTGAAGTTTCCCTTCTGAATAAATAAATAAATAAATTTAAAAAACAATAAAAAAATAAACCTTATGTATATCTATATCACACTTTAACATTTTAATTAATGTTTTAAAATGTTATCAAATGAAAATTTACAACTCCTTTTATTTTTGGCAAAGTTAAAACATGGACAAACATGATAATCCTTGAAAATATAATTTTATTATAAAGAATATTATTATTGTTGTTACTATAACTTTGAAGTACATTGTACAATGCTAATATATTTCTGTCATAATTACAAGTTAAATCGAACTTTTATTTTGATGGGTTGTAGCTAGGGATGGGCGATACCACTTATTTTGTTTTCGATACGATATCGATATTTTTCAAGGCAGTATCGTCGATATCGATACCGATTCGATACTTCTGAACTAAACTTTTAAATTATGAAATTT